AATCTTCTAGCGCAGGCTATAAGCTCTTATTGTACGTTCTTGCATGGCTGTCACTGATTTGCTTCTGCATTTGCAATTGTAAGATGCACTGTCAAATATCATCGGGGTGGATTGTATACAATGGGCTGGAGGGCTAAACTTGATACTTGACAAGCTGCATGACCTTGGATGAGTCCTGTGAACATTCCTGTACTTGCCGCAGATAACGCAATTAAAACAAAAATTGTTTTCCGTATGACCCAGCAGTTTCGTCTATTGGATCTGTTGTTTTCTGTATTGGTTGTTTGAAATACTGTACGAGAAAGAGAGAGTTTTGTTCCAAGGCTGCTGGACATCACCTCAGACCAGGATTGTGAACAGTGCCAGGAACGAAGCTAAGCCTCCAGACCAGCCATCGATTGAGGGGTCCCAGAAGGGCAGAGTGATGCAAGATTTATAGCTTGTTTTTCTCTTTTTCTCTTCTATTTATTATTACCATTACAATCATTTATTACTATTTAATAAACATTCATATTTAATTAAGTTGCTGTTGTTGAACCTTCTCTTAATGATATTTACCCGAACCTGAAAAGAACTGTTTGGACACACGGTGACACACCAAGACACTTGGTTCAATGGGGCATACCACGAACAGCACCAGGTATACTTAAAAATGCAGTCAGTGTCAACATGGTGAAGCTACCAAACAGGACGACTTGCTCGCCAGGCAGTATATACGGCTAGTGATAGACAGAGTTACATGATCCTACAACCAACAGATTATATCTAAGCTCTGCAGTCCTGCCAATTTTCAGCCAACATGATTCACTTCATGTGATAGAAATCATTGGAGGCATTGGGTCAAGTAAAAGCTATGGTGTCGGACAACATTCTGGCTATAACACTGAAGACTTCTGCTCTAGAACTTGCTGCAATCCTAGCCAAGCTGCTTCAGTACAGTTAGAACACTAGCATCTATCCGACAATCTGGAAATTTGCTGAGGTATGTTGTAAAAAGGTACAAGTTCAACTTGGCCAATTACTGCTGCAGTGTAATCTCAACCATCATCACTGGAAGGGACCAACAGTCCAATCGAGCAACAACCTGCTCACTGACACCTACTCAGCTCCTTACTGGATTACAGCCTTGGACATGGACAAGAGCTTAATTCAAGAGGTGAGGCGAGACAGTGACAGCCCTCGACATCAAGGAGCCCTAGCAAAGCTGAATTAATCGGAATTGGGGAGAAAACCCTCCATTCTGAGTTATACCTCATTGATAGGAAGATGGTTGTGGTTCTTGGAGGTCAGCGATTTCAGCTCCAGGACATCTCTGCTGGAGTTCCTCAAAGTAGTGTTGTCAGCCCAACCATCTTTAGCTGCTTCAATGACCTCTCTCCATTATAAAGTCAGAGTTAGGAACGTTCACTGATGATTTGCACAATGTTTCAGCACGATTCATGACTCCTCAGATACTGAAGTAGTCCATGTTCAAATGTAACAAGATTTGAACAATGTCAAGGCTTTGGCTGTCAAGTCTCAAATAACACGTCTATCTCAAATGTCAGGCAATGACTATCTCCAATGAGAGAGACAACGTAACCATCACCCATCGACATTTAATGGTGTTACCATCACAATCCCCAACTATCATCCAGAAACTCAACAGTGCTCGTCACAAGAACAGTGGCTACATGAGGAGGTCAGAGCCTAGAAATAGTGCAGTGAATAACTCACCTCCTGATTCTCCAAAGCCTTTCCACATCTACAAGGTACCAATCAGGAGTGCGATGGAATATTCCCCACTTGCTTGGATGAGTGCAGCTCCAACACCACTAAGCTTGACACTATCCAAGACAAAGCTGTCTTCTTAATTAGTATCACACCAAGCATCTACTCCCTCCATCACACTCTGCAGCAGCAGTGTGTTCTACTTATACAATGAACTTCAGAAATTCACCAAAAATCCTTAGACAGCACCTTCTAAATCTACGACCACTTCCATCTCAAAGGACAATGGCAGCAGACATGTGGAAACACCACTGCAAGTTCCTCTCCATGCTACACACCATCTTGACTTAAGAATATATTGCTATTCCTTCATGGTCAAAATCCTGGAATTCCCTCCCTAAGGGCACGGTCAGTGGTTCAAAGAAGCAACTCACCATCACCTTCTCAACAGCCACTAGGCATGGACAATTAATGCTGACCAGCAATGCCCATGTCCCATGACTGACTAAAAAGGAAAATAGATAGGTTGTTAGCAGGCACAAACTGGGCAGATGGAGTTTGATTAGCAAAGAGAGAGGGCATGCATGAGGTAGGAAAAATTAAAAGGCACTATTACTTAAAAGAAGACAGACTCCAGAAACAAAACACAATAATATGGACGATGCTACGTTTTGGAACAGCAAATCAGGGCAGCACTAATACACTTAAGGGCAGGGGGGGGGGGGGGGGGGGGGGGGATGTGTGGCTGAACAAAAAACCTTGGGATGCAGGTTCATAGTTCCTTGGAAGTGAAATTGCAGGTAAACAGGGTAGTGCTGTATAGCAAACCCATGCTACACACTGGTGCACCTCCTCTGAGCCTCCTCCAGAACAATCCCATAATGTGAACAGAACTGCACCCATTACTCCTGTTGCGGTCTAACCAAAAAGTGTTTTACAGCTCCAACATAAACCTCCCTACTTTTATAATCTATGCTACAATTGATAAAGGGCAAATGTCAATCAGGCACAGTGGTTAGCACTGCTGCTTCAGTGCCAGGGATCCAGGTTTAACTCCACCCGTGTGCGACTGTCTATGTGGAGTCTGCATGGGTTTCCAACCACAGTCCAAAAGATGTGCAGGTTAGGTAGACTGGCCATGTTAAATTGCCCGAAGTGTCCAGGGATAGGATGGGATGCTCTCCAGAGGGTCAGTGCGACTCAATGGGCCGAATGACCTGCTTCCATGCTGTAGGGATTCTTAAAACAAAAGCTTTTTAAACTGCCATATTAACCTGTCCTGCCACCTTCAGGCATCTATAGGCAAGTACCCCAACATCCCCCTTCCTCCGAACTTCCCAGTGTTCTGGCATTCATTAAGTAGTGTTACTTCTTCCAAAGTGCATCACCTCTTACTTTTCAGGGTTAAATTCCATTTGTCATTAATCTGTACATCTGATCAGTACATAGATATCTTCTTGCAACCCCAGACCTTTTCTTACTATTAACCACCCAGCCTCTCTCTCATTCCACAAACTGATTTATGAATACCCCAAAACTCTGGAAGCATCTGGTACATTGCAAGGTAGGATTCCTCAAGTCTAAGGTAGTCAGGCTGCTGCTTGATTAGTCCGTGGGACACCTTTCCTGACTTTAAAGGGATGTCCAGAGGCTAGTAAGAATTACTTTTAGGGTTGACAGTTCAGCTTGCTGTTTAAATGGTAACGCCAGGTAGTCCACCCATTTTATTAATAAGACGGCTCAGGAGATCAGGTTAAAGATATTTAAAGTCTACTTAATGCATATGCAGGAAGAGCCAATCTTACCATGAAGTGTGAATCTAAACTTTGATGGTTACAAACACCTTTAAAGTTTTATACAAATCATTACAGCATACCTATTACATTATCAACTGTTTTTCCAGCAGTATTGTATGTGTTATTCCCAAGGCCAGTACCATTTTGCTGATAATGCAGTTCCTCTACTTCTAGTCTGCCTTTGAGGTGCTCATTTGCTTTTAAGATGACTGAAAATTTAACACTCAATTAACAACTTGATTCAACCCGTTCTGTCCAGTATTATCCCTTTGTTTAGATTTTGTAGCAATTTCATTCAACAATTAACCACATTGCTCTAGATCAGAGTCATACGAAAGCCAGACAAGGGAATAATATAGATTTTGTTCCCTAATGGGCATTAGTGAATCAGGTTTTTTTCAAAAAACGAAAATTGACATGGTTTTTATTTTGAAAGATTTGTGATGACGATGTAGGAAAGAGAAACAAACTTTGAAAGAAATGGAAGCATAAGCATTGCCAGTTTTTGTTTTCATGATATAGATGAACATTTATCAGAATCTTTAAGCACTGAAGAATGCCATTTATCCCATCACAGCTATGCCACTTTTTTATAAAAGCTATTCAATTAGTTTCATTCATCTGCTCTTTTCCCACTACCAAAGGGAAAAAAGTTTACAAGGTTATGTTTAATTTGCAATTTAAAGATTACCGATGAATCTTCTTCCATCGTCGTATCAGACAGCTTATTCTGGATCATAAAACTTGCTGCACAAGAAATATTATTTCCTTCACTATTCTTTTGCCAGGAAATTTTATCACAAAGATTAGCATAAAACACTTTAAATACCTACTTTGAATAACATTACTCATTATGACAGAAGAGTTGCAGGTATTTGAAGTATTTATGAGTTGTCATATATCACAGCAGTTGCTTAGAACAGAGCTCAGGAACCAGACATTACCCACATTTACCAACCACTGATTCTTTCATCATCTATATTTTGAACGTTGGTCACAAAGGCAATTAATTTATACTCTTACTGCAATGAGAACATAATTTTTGGACTCTGTCATAACAGAACACCACAGATATAGCATGACTAGAGTGTTCAGTCATATGCAGATACTGTTTTAGATAAAGATTACAAAACTCATTGCAAAAAAAAAGTCCACTTATTGCTTCTTCTGCATGCAAAGGAAATTTTAAGCTTCAGATCAGAGATGGCAGTTGAGTCACTAGTCTCTCCAGTGATAGCCTCTGCCATTTCTCTAATATGTTGAACACAATTCATACGCATTACACGTGGGTAAACTCGAAAGCTTTTTTGTTAGAAATTTTATTCATTCCGAAGAATGAAGGTGATTCTATGTCAGAAATGTAATAAATTATTTCTGAACACAGATGATCTTTTACTGTTATTTTAGACATTTACTTCATTTTGTGATAATGAATAACCTTGTGACATGATTCGTTTTTAATTTTAAATATTTTCTGCATAGCAATTACTATACCTCATCTTTTCTTCGAACGGATTCCTCATATGTGCAAATTAGTTGGTTCAAGTTCTCAGCCTGACAGATCATTTGTGCAACTTGAGCTTCATGTTTCATCTTTTCATCTTGCAACTCCTGTTTGTGCTGCTCAATAACTGACAATCGCCATTGGCGAATTTCAGATAGAATATTGGCCTTCAAAAGAAGCATCAGAACTTGATCAGTGATCAAATAAATTGCTGCTTAGTACATATTTCTTCAAAATGCATTTGTGAATAATAATTAAATTTGTACAGACCACATGTCAATCACATTTACTTAGCAATGTACTAGAAAAGTATCTGCATCAATAATATCACGATTGATTAGGATAGCATAATTGTCTTACTCCAAAACTCCCAGTGGACAAAACAGGTTAAAATTGACTTTTGCATTCACATTCCATTTGCTCCCTCTGTACTCCTTTTTGTGCAGTATTACTTTCTCATTACAGGATACTGCAAAACTCAATGCTGAACATTTACAACCTACACAAATAGAACTTAGTAAAAGGAATAAGTGCAACCTAAGTTTGCTAATATTGAAGTTAAGTGGGACATTAAGCTGTGGATGCAATGATGTAAAGACACAAGAACATAACACATGGAATATGATGTGGAGGAGAAGAATGAAGGTAAAATACAAGTATTTTTACGATTAAGACAGACTAGCAAATATTGATATCGCATAACCCTGTACATGAACAAAAAGATAACATACTTGAAAACAAGTAATTTAGAAAACAAACAAAGTAGGTCTTTACTGCAAAGGAATTGCAACAAAGAGTAAAGAAGTCACACTGTAATTACGCAGACCGTGCTGATCATTTTACAGTTTGGATTTCCTTACAATAGGAATTCAGTAGACCAATTCTTGAGATTAAAGGTTGTCCAATCAAAGTTTGAATAGGTTATGCCCATATTCCTTAGTTTAGAAATATTAGAAATAATGTCAATGAGCTATAAATTCTTAAGGGCCTCAACACTGTAGATGCTGGGAGTCTACAGCTATGGATCAGTCTTAAAACAAAAAATTGTATACTTAATACAGAGATCATTGTTGGGAACTTTTGAAATTGTCTGTCCCGGAAAGCTATGAACAGTCAGATGTTGAGCACATTCGAGATAGTTCAATAGGTTTACGGATGGAGAAATGGGGGTAGTGTAGGAAGGCATATTTGAGCTAAATAATCAGTCAGGATTTTCATTAATTTGAAACAGGTATAATTCCTGCTTTTTTAAAAAAGGTTACGCTCTTTCATGTTCCCATTTAAATGGGAAAATATATAGTAAACAATATTTAAAATTGAGAGATATGCACAATCTCATTTTACCAGAGCCTTAATCAAAGTCCTTCCAAAACTAACAGTGATGTTGGTTTGTTTTAAAAACAAATTTCCCCAACAATACCTCTTTAAATCATTGCAGCAAATTACTACCACCAATCTTCACTTGTTCAGTTTTATTGTTGGAATAGTGAGTACTGTCAATTTGGCATTGGGTTTTACAATATATTGAATTGAGTGCTGCAAACTAGTCACAATAAGATGCAGCTTGCAAAAAGCATTTCTGAATACCTCTGTCCTAACAATTGTTAGTGGAGCCTACATTTGG